ATTTTATGAACACAACTTTCACATGTATGTAGTTTGTTTATTGCGTAAATATTAATATATATATTTTATGCCTTTATAACCTCCTTAAGTACGTATTTCGACTCGGATATTTCACATCCGTTGTATTAATTATTTATTTATAATAATATATTATATTTGATATGAAATGAAATGCAATGTAAATGCATACGTATTTAATACATATTTGCAATGAAAAGTGCTGTGCGCGAGTATACGTATATACATATAGAACGGCCCTACACAATAACAAGCAAAGACCGATTTTATTTATTTTAAGTGGAATAAACGCGATTTTAATCTAAAAAATTGTTGTCCACATTATTCAAAGACATAACAGATTTTTAAATGTTATTTAATACGTTATAGTACTGTATATTGCGATATTATGAATTATGTTGGAAATATTTTTAAGCAATTTTCATAATATAAAGTTGAACATATTCAGCAATATTTTCAACTTTAAAGTTATAGTAATTTCACAATCTATAATAAATGAATTAATTGATAGTATACAGAATAGATATAATATTATAATCAAAGCTCACAATAGCCAAATTAAATATTAATAATGTATTATATTATAATTTTTATTAATTTAAATTCCTGTAGTATCATAAACAAATGAAAATGAGTAAAATATGTTTAAAAAATTACTTCTTTTATATATTATGTTTCTCACAACTAAATCTTCTTAATACATGTATGTTATTGTTTCTTTCAAAACAGCATTTATATCTTCAAGAAATAAAATATAAAATTTCGCACGGAATGCAAGTTCGATTCCCGGCCGAGGCAATATTTTTCACAATAAGTTTATTACAGTTTTTTAAGATTTGGGAAATTTGGGAGAATTATTAATATTTCAGATTGATTGCGTTGAAAGTCGACAACCATATCAGCACATAATTATCATTTCTGAAATTAATTCATTTAAATGAATATATATAGTAGTTCAATATCTTAACATTTAGACCGTAGTGGCGCTTCGTATTTAAAGTAATTTAAAATAAGTATTTAAAATATAAAAATCACATATTTTTTCGCTGGTTTCTGACATATACCTATAGTTTATTTTGTATATGTATGTGCGTATTAGTTCGCGTGTGTACTTACATACATTCATAGAATTTATCCTGTCCGGTTAAAAGTTTATTAACCTTTGCGTCATGATAAGGCCTTATCAGTTCAGGTCAGGACTCACCTTTTTTCAGTTAATTTTTAATTATTTTGATGAATTTTTTAACGTTAAGTATTGGTTTTTTGTTTTCATAAAATCCATAAAATATTAATAAAGTATTTCCATAAAATATTAATAAAATATTAAAAAAGTATTAAAAAAGTAAGTAGTAAAAAAAAGGCAATCATAAATTTTTATTTGCCATAATTACTATAACTGAAGTAGTCAAACTTTATGATTTTTTGGAAAAAATGCATTTTCTACTAAATTATTATCAATATAAAAATGGGGTAATTTAGCCACTTATTTAAGACATCCTAAAATATTTTTTTCAGAATTTTCCAGAATTTTTTCGTTGTATTGTTTTTTTTTTTTTTATTAAAAACTTATAATCTTTGAAAAATAAGGAAAAAACAACATTTTCTACTTTAAATTCAAATAAATAGTTCAAATATCTCCTGTAATTGTATTTTAGGGGGTTTTTAGATTACTGAATCTTAAGTCAAAATTTTCAAATTTTTAAATC